TACAGGAGGTAAGTGAAAGGGCGGGGACATTGCGGATGCTGAGCGCGGATGGACAAGTGTTTTTTTGGGGGGGGGGTCCTATCACTGGTGCGACTGTCATAGTGAGATGGATTCGCAAGTGACCGATCAAGTTGATGCGTGAGGTGGGTGTGCGATTGTAATGAGGACAAATTGGGACTAAGTGCACATCGCTGGTTGAGAGTGTGATGATAGAGAAGGTAATGGTTGACGAAGTGCCGGAAGTGTTCTGGCCGGTGGCGGAAGTGGGAGGGCTGGTAGTCGTCGTCGTGGTCGCGGAGTATGTGGTAGGGATGAAGAAAATGACGGCCGGCGCAGCAACAGGGGTGTGTTCACCGACGGTAAAGTTGGTCTTCGTCGAGGAAGTTTTGGGCGTTGGTGCAGGCTTGTTGATGGGGGTAGTTGTGGTGGCGACAGTTGGGGTTTTAAGGTTGTTTTTGCATTGTGTCCTGAAATGTCCGACGAATCCGATCCGTGCGCGGAATGTTTGTCGGCAGCATAGGCACACAGGAAGGGGTCGGTGTTGGCGTTGTGGAGCAGGGGAAAAATCTTGAGGCTTAACAGTCACTCTTTTGGATTGGGTAGTAGCTTCCATGCTGAACGCATTAATTGCTGTTCTGATCTTTGTTGCTTTTCTCCAGTTCGGTCGGTCCTGGGCGAGATCATGCTAGGTCTCCAGGTTGATTTGCAACTGTCTCAGAGGGTTCTTTATAATCGTTTTTTTCGACGTGTTCGTCATCCTTGTCGACGAAAATCTGTAGCGATGTCTCCAAAGAGTCGTTTGACGAGTCAATTATCGTCCACCCTCAGGAAGTGGCCTTACCATCTCAGTTGCAGTTGCCTCAGCATGGCGCCGATGCTGCGGAGTCTGGCCCGTTCTCGAACTTCTGCATCTTAAGTCCTGTCCTGCTAAGTCAACCTTGAGATTCTCCGAAGGCGGCTGAGGTGGAAATTATTGAGTTTCCGCGCTTATTTCTCGTGAACCCTCAAGGTCTTTTTTCCACATAGCAGCGTCGTCAAGATGACAGCTTTGGACATTTCGAGTCTTGTGTTGAGGTGGAAACCGTGGCGATGCCATATTGCGTTTTGCAGCGGACTAAACACCTGGATGGCTTTTGAGATCCGGCTAGTTACTTAATCGTCGACTTTAATGCTGTGTGATTCTGGTGTCTATATAGGCTAAGTTGCCCACGGTCTTCATTTGTGTCGTTGGCGTGGACGCCAGGAACACTGCATGTTGCGTTGTGCAGCGGCTGCTGCACTACCACATGTTGGTAGTCAGACGGAGTTAGGTGAAGCCTTAGGTTAAAAGATATATGCTCCCTCATTTGTCCGCTTCTGTCTCTGCGCTGAGTGCGCAATCATCCTCGAAGAGCAAAGCATGAATTGCTGTTGTAGATAAGTGCACCGGGGCCTGTGCGCGCCGACCGCTGAGAAGATGCCCGTCGTTCTGTAGGCGGTGCGGATGGCGACACACTCCTTAGGTACGGATCCATCAGCATGTCAGAGAACATGGGGCTGATGAGGGTTGGAGAGTGTTCGCGGCCCTGCTTCACTCCGTCGGTCATCGAGAATGTTTCTAAGACGACTCCGTTGCTCATGGCGCACGTCATCATCCCGTCATGAAGCTGACGCACCATTCATGGAAATCGATCAGGACAGTCAATTTTTTGTATGATTTATTGGAGTCCACCGCGATACCGCGTCGGAGGTATTCGTCAAGTCGACGAAGGTAGTGTAGAAATGGGTCTGTTTTGGCTGACATTTCTCATGCGGGGGGCGGCG